CATTGTGGGAAACTCGCCGGCATCTGCTCCGTCTCTCACTTGTGCAGACGCCGCGTTGACACCCCGGCGCGGTGAGGATTTGTCGGTGTTTTTAAAAGCGCCGTTGTCAGCGCAGGGGCTGCTCGCACCCGTCCCGGTGAGGTTGGGGGAGGGGAAGCCAGCGCCAGGTCCAGCCAGGGTCCCTGCAGGGCCGGCGTCTCTGGGGCTCCCTTCCCCAGGCAGGACACCCCGGGGTCCAGCCAGCGATTAGCACCAGCTCTGGGCCTGGAGGGACCCTGCAGCGAGCCCCATCCAGACGGGCGCGGCCGTGCCAGCCCCGTGGCGGGCAGAGAGCGGTGGGGGCAGCTCGGGCGGCCGTCACCGGGGGGAGCTGATCCTGGCTCTGCACAAGAGCACGGCTCTGCCAGGGTGTCCCAGCCGGGCTGCCCGGCACAGGGCGATGGGGCAGGGGCTGGGCTGGGGACCAGGAGACCCCAGTCAACACCTGCCTCTGTCGCGGCCTCCCTGGGGACCCGGGCGAGTCGCTGCGGGCGAATTCCTGAGGATTCAGCCCCCACAGCTGCAGCTGGGTCGTCCCATGAGCCCGAGACCGCAGCCCTCAGCCCCCAGCCCCCAGCCCCCAGCTCCGGGCACGCTCGGCCTCAGCTCCCCAAAAGGAGGGAGCATGTGGGGGGGACTGTCTGGGCATCACCTCGCACAACGGGGCCCCGATCTCGGCCGGGGGCTGGGCAGCGCTCATTCAAATCAAATCCGGCCATTTGTCATCCTGGCTCTGCGGCCAGCCAGATTTGGGCTGGGGTAAGAGGTAGTGGGGCCACCCCGGGTTCTGGGAGCTCCCACAGCCCCGTCCCCACCACACCAAACTGTTGGGCGGATAAAATGTGTGACGCAGTGGGGGATTGTCTTGTTTTTTCCAATGGTTTGCATGCAGAGGGGGTGGGACTCAGTTTCCCTGGGTGTTACTGGTTTAACGAGGGGAGGGGAGAGGGAGTTTGTTGTTGCAGAGGATCGGAGAGGGAACTTGGGACACCAGCCAATGGCCTGGAGGATGGACACCCCAGCGACCGGTGACCTGATGACCCGGAGACCCAGCTCAGGAGTCGCAGCCGGTTCTGGCCAGTGGGAGGACAATGGGCTGCGGGGAGAGGACCCCAAGATCTGACCAGCCGGTTCCAGCCAGAGGGGCCAGAGGACAGAAGAGGGGAGAGGGGGCCCAGGCGACCCTGTTTACCTGGAAAGAAGACAATGGACAGAGGCAGGGCCTGGGGCCGGTGATCTCAGAGACCCAGCTAGGAGCAGGGGGGCTCGGGGCTGGAGAGGGGGAGCAGGCAGAACCCACCTGGATGCAGAGAGACTGGGATGTGCTGGGCTGAGGGAGGCCAGGCCTGAGACCCTGAGAGTTTCCTGTGCTGTGTTCAGACGCCCAATAAACCTCCTGTGTTACGCTGGCCGAGAGTCACTCCGGTCTAGAGAACAGGGTGGCATCAACCCCTTCGGGGGTGGTGGCCCCGGGGGTCCAGAGCGAGTGGACTCCCTGAGGGGGCCCACGGCAGAGACAGCCGTGCTAAGGCTCCGAGAGGTGCGGATCCAGGAGGTGGAGGGGCCTGACCCCGGGAGAGAGTGCACCCCCGAGAAGGGCTGTCACTCTGAAGGGGGCACCCCCCACAGACCGCACAGGGCCAGGAGTGGGCACGATCTGTGAGTCCGTGACACTGGGCACTATAGCCCCAGAGCTAGAACACAGGAGTCCTGCCTCCCAGCGCCCCCCTCTAACCACTAGACCCCACTCCCCTCCCAGAACTAGGGATGGAACCCAGGAGTCCTGGCTCCCAGCCCCCGCCTGCTCTCACCCACCAAACCCAGGCGTCCGGGGAGGGCTGCGTTATGTCAGGCGAGCGTTGACCTCTGAGCTGCGCAGGCCCCGGCCGGCCGGGTCCCACACGAGGGACGATCCTGGCCCAGAAATTCCACCCACATCTGCCCTGGGAAGCCGGCTGGCGAGGGGCGACCCCGCGGGGAGCCCGCACGTGGGCCGCGCTCGAGCCGTAATCCCAGTGCAGGTCTGGCGCGGCTGTGGGTCTCTCAGGGCTGCCTGTGGGCGTTTGCGCTCGTCCTCCCGGGCGCTGTTCATCCAGCGCTGCCGGCCGGGGCCATCAAATATTCATTAGGGCTGAATACGGGTAGGAGCCGGCCCCAGGCGGGCAGCGAATGCACCGTGGAGCTGGAGAAATAGGCTCCAGAAGAGACGGAATTTGTCATGGCCCCACATGCCATGCACCCCCCTCTTCTCCGGGGCTGTGGGTCGGCAGTGAGTGGTGCTGGAGGGGGCAGGGCTGGGCTAGCAGGGGGCTGCGGGCCGGGAGTGAGGGGCACCGGCAGAGCTTGGGGGGGTCAGGGCTAGGCTAGCAGGGGGCTGTGGGTCGGGACTGAGGGGCACTGGCAGAGCTGGGGGAGGGAGCCCAGGGCTGGGCTAACGAGGGGCTGCGGGTCGGGAGTGAGGGGCACCGGCACAGCTGGGGGGGTCAGGGCTGGGCTAGCAGGGGGCTGTGGGTCAGGCCTGAGGGACACTGGCAGAACTTGGGGGGTCAGGGCTGGGCTAGCAGGGGGCTGTGGGTCAGGCCTGAGGGGCACTGGCAGAACTTGGGGGGTCAGGACTGGTCTAGCAGGGGCTGCGGGTCGGGAGTGAGGGGCACCGGCAGAGCTGGGGGTGTGGCTGAAGTTGGTGCATTCCCTGCCTGCCCTCTGCCCAGCAGCCTCCCCCCCCCCCCGGCTCCGGTTCAACGTTCCCTCCCCACGTGCGATCACGTGGGCGCCTGGGGGGCCCCCTTCCCCCAGATTCATTATCGCAGGATTAAACCCAAGCCCCCTCCAGGGGCGACAGCGGCCCTGTGATTGTCACCACAGCCTATGTGATGTGAACTAAATCCATGCTAATTAGCACTGATTTGCATAGGGGGAAATACAAACGACTCCGTCCTGGGCGCTGCCAATTAGTGATTCTAGTCGGGCACAAGGACAAGGGCAGCCCTGCTCGGCTCCAGCGCTCCCTGCGGCGGGCGCGCTGCCTCGGCCTGTCTGGCGGTGGGAAGCGGGCGCGTGGCTCGGACACCTGGGTTCTATTGCTTGCTCACCAGCATGGGCCAAACACGCTGCCCCCCCGTGCCTCAGTTTCCCCACTTTTGACTCCCTTGCCTGCTTCACTCCCAAGGCCTTGGGATTTCATAGTGTCTAAGACCAGACGGGCCAGGACGGCTCTCTGGTCTGACCCCCCTGCCTGGCACAGAGCCCCCCGGTTTGTGGGGACGACCCTGCGTCTTTGCTTCAGATCCTCGGCTGGGCCAAGGTGCGCTGAGGGTTTGAGCCAGCCAAGGATCTGGGCTTTACCCCCAAAACTTTTCGGAGGGCCCCCAAAGTCGCCTGGCTCCACTGGGATGCTGCTGGCACCCCCAGCTCCGGACCGGGGCTCCGCAAGGACCCGGGCTCCGCGTCCTCTCCGGCTTCTCCGTCCCCTTTCTCCGGCCTGGGCTTTTCTCTGCCGGTTGGACGCTCAGCGCAGGAGGGAGGGAGCGACTGTGCCCCGGTTCCTGCCACGTTGCGATGCGGGGCTCCAGGAGAGCCGGGCGGGGGCACAAGGCAGACGCTCGTTCTGCATGCCAAGCAGATGCTGGCAGAGCCAGTCTCCTGGTGGAGCTGACCGGGCGGGGGGTGGCTCGGCCTGGGTCGCGCCCCCTTTCGGAGACCTCTGCCGGCTTCCAAGCTCTTCACTCCGGCGAGTCCCTTCATTGGTATGGGGACGCGGCTGCTTCGCCCGCCCGGCTTGGGATGTTTATTAGCATAAAGCCTCATGAAAAATTAATCGGGAGCAAACAGCGTGGCGGGGCCGGGGGGAGAGGAATGGGGCCGCCAGGTGGGCAGGGACCCAGCTGGATCGTCTCGCCCAGCAGGGACCCCCCCCACGAGGACCTGCCCAGGCCCAGCGGGCGCCCCAGTGTCTCCGCACCCCAGCAGGGGAGCTGGGTTCCCTCGGCCAGTGGGAGATGGAGCCCAGCAGGGCTGGGTGGGAGGTGCAAGCCCCCTTCTGGGGCATGCGGGGGGACAAGGCCGGCTGCCTGCGGGGGGGGGGGCATGCGGGTGCCAGCGGGGGGAGAACTGTCAGCCCAGCGAGTGTGTATGTGTGTGGGGGGAGTAGGCCAGGTGTGACTGTGGGAGGGTTTTTGGGGGGGTGTATAGGGAGCTGTGTAGGTGTTTGGGGGTGTACAAGGAGCGGGGGGGTGTCCATAGGTGGGGGTGTTTGTGTAGGTGTGTAGCGAGGTCCCTGCAGGAAGGTCGGGGGGGTGTGTTTGTGTGCACGTGAGCATGTGTGTGTAGCCGTGTGTCTGTTCAGGGCCTCGAAGGAGGGGTGTGTGTGTGTGTGTGTGGTGTTGTGTAGCTGGGTGTGGTGTTGTGTGGTGTAGCTGCATGCAGAGGCCCCTGAGGCGGAGCTGGCCCTTTAAGGGTCTGTGTGCCCAACAGCACCTGAGCCAGGTGTAACCCCGCCCCCCCAGGTGAAAGGCGGGCCAGCCCCGGGGGTCATGTGACCAGGAGCCAGGCCGGCTGGGAGAGGACAGCAGCTGGGGGGTTGTGGGGCTGGTCTGGGGTCAGGGGCCAGGCTGGGAGCCAAGGGGAGCAGCAGGCCCCTGAGATGGGCCCAGCTGCCCCTGCCCGCACAAGGGGGCTGATGGGACGCTGAGCCCCTGGGCTGGGCTCCTGGCCGGGGCTGAGACCTGCACTGACCTGCCACTGGAGGGAAACTGAGGCAGCAGAAGGGTCTGAAGCCAGACCAGGTAGGTCCCTGTTCCGGGCGGTGTGACCCTGGCAGGGCGGGGTGGGTCTGAGCTCTGCTTTCATCTGGGCCCCTCTGGCTACCGAGGGCAGCGCACCCCCCAGCTCTGCCGGTGCCCCTCACTCCCAACCCGCAGCCCCTGCTAGCCCAGCCCTGCCCCTCCACTCAACCCCCGCCCTTGCAGTAACTGCCAATGCTCTCTCTGCCCCCCGCCGGCTGCTTATCCCTTGATCTCTGGCGCGTCTCTGATCTCTGGGCACCGGCGCTGCCTCCTTTCATCCCTCCTTGTTTCCGGAACGGCAGGACTGGCAGCGGGGGGTATCACTGCCTGGTGTGTGGCTGTCGTGCCCCGGGCGGGCGAGGCGTGGGCGGCTGGGGGTGGGCCTTGGCGTGAGAAGGCAGCTGAGGTGCCCTCAGCCCTGGGGGGCAGGCGGGAGGGGGCGGGGATGTGCCCGGCTGCATGTGGGAGGCCAGGTGACCGTTCGTCCTGGGGGTGAGTGGCTGGCTGCACCTACCGGGCCCTGATGCCCCCCTCGTGGAAAGGGGCAGAAAACGGCTCTCCCCGGCGCTGGCAGGGCTCACGCTGCTGCTGCTGCTTCTCCTGCACTGGGGACACGTTGTAGAGGCGGGTGGGGGAAACCGAGGCACGAGGAGGGTCACATGTCTTGCCCCAGGCCTGAGAGAGTGAGCCAGAGAACTGGGCGCAGAAGCCAGGCTTAGCTACGCCAGTGGGCCAGGAGCCTGGGGGTGGGCACCCAGGTCCCACGGATGCCCTGATCACCCCCAGACGTGCCCAAGCCCTCAAGCTCCATGACCCATCCCTATACACCGGTGCTCCATGGTAACCCCCCTACCAGTCCATGCCCAAACTGCCCACCTCCTGAATGCGCCCACCCTGCTCCAGGCCCGTCCTGGGATTGAGAAGAAACAACATAATAGAGGGAAATAAAATCCCAAATAACAATAAACTCCCCCCACACACCCCCGCTGCCCCATCCCGGCCTCCCCGTCAGACCCGTCCACACCTGCCTGTCTCCTGTGCGGCAGAGGGGTCTGACCCATAGGGGCAGGGGGCGGGATATGGCATTGAATGGACCGGTGGGTCTGACCTGTACGGGCAGCGGGCGGGATACGGGATTGCATGGACTGGTGGTCTGACCCGTCTGGGCAGGGGGCGGGATACGGGATTGAACGGACCGGTGGGTCTGACCCATATGGGCAGGATGTGGGATATGGGATTGGAGGAACCGGTGGGTCTGACCTGTATGGGCAGGGGGCGGGATACGGGATTGCATGGACTGGTGGGTCTGACCCATATGGGCAGGATGTGGGATATGGGATTGGAGGAACCGGTGGATCTGACCTGTATGGGCAGGGGGCGGGATACGGGATTGCATGGACTGGTGGGTCTGACCCATACAGGCAGTGGGCGGGATACGGGATTGAACGGACCGGTGGGTCTGACCCATATGGGCAGGATGTGGGGTATGGGATTGGAGGAACCGGTGGGTCTGACCCGTATGGGCAGCGGGTGGGATATGGGATTGGAGGGACTGGTGGGTCTGACCCGTATGGGCAGGGGACGGGATTTGGGATTGGAGGGACCGGTGGGTCTGACCCGTATGGGCAGGAAGCGGGATTTGGGATTGGAGGGACCAGTGGGTCAGATTGAATACTGCCAGACAAACGCCTCCACCCGTCGCTTCTAACAACTCCTGCCCCCCTCGGTAACTGAACCAGGCCCCCAAATCCCTCATCTAAAGACCCTGAAAACAACAAACCAGCCCCCCCCCCAGGGGCCTGATCCAGCTCCGTGGGGATGGATTCTGCAGGTTCCGCTGCCCCCCATCCCCCCCCCGCTCCCCAAGCCCGGAAAATGTCAAATACACAATTAGGCGGCTGAGGCACGTGGCGCTTTGTGCGGCTGGGGGGCGGGAGGGGGGAGGTTTGTGGGTTTTCTTTTCCCCTTGCCTGTGTACAGCCCGTAAACACTCAATTAGGCCCGCGCGGCTGTACCTGGCTTCTGGAGCTGCCGGTAATTACGTGGGTTTTTGGTGGCAGCCCAGCAGGGAAGAGCTGTTCTGCTAATTGACGCGGCGCCTGGGCTCACGGTGGCTGCAGCTGGAGCTGGTGGCATTTCGGGAACAGCTGCGAGACGCTGGGATGGGCCAGGGCATCGCTTGCCCGCCCCCGCGCCCCCCTCGCTCAGGTGGCACAAAGCGGCTCAGGGACCTTGCAAAACAAGGAAGGGGGGGGGGCTAGTGGCTGCATGCAGCAATGGTTATTAATATCCCAGGGACACCCCGGCAGCCCAGGGCCCTGCTGCGCCAGGCGCTGTACAGCTGAATAACCAAAAAGCCGGACGGGTGGATGATCTCATTGTCAACTTGCGAGGAACCTTCTGGAGCCCAGACTCCCCCATTCCCTTTGGCCAAGTCCCTTCGTCTTTCCCTGCCTCAGTTTCCCCACCTGTCCCTGTCAGATAAGGCTGGCAGGACTCATTAACGCGGCTCAGACAGCCGGGGTTTTGTTTGGTTTTGACGGAGGGCAGCAGGTAAGTCTCACTCTTCTGGCCTGGGTTTTGGAACGGAGCTTAATGAAAATAAATGTTCACAATTCAGCTCTTTTCCGGTGCGTTTCCCGGTTTAGTCCTGGCTGTTTGGACGCCCGCTCCCTGCCTCACGGCTCTGCCAGGCTGCTGGAACGGGAAGGACTTTTTTACCTTTTAAAAGTGTCGTGGGACGGCCGCTCTCTGAATTATCTGCCATGGTGTCAGTGGGTTTTTTAATAAACCGCCCCCTGCTCCGTCGCAATGGGATTGAGTCGAGCCAACAGAAGCCACGTTGGTTCCGGACGGTGTCGGCTGGTTTTGCCGTTGGAGGGGGGTTTGATTCTCTCCGCTGCTGGAATCCGGGCCCCGGTTCTCGGAGGAGGCTGGGAAATTGGAGAGGGTTCAGAGAAGAGGCACGAGACTGATTAAAGGATGGGAGAACCTGCCGCGGCGCGATCGAGCTCCTGCTGGCTGCCAGCTTAGCGTCTCAAAAGGAAGGTGAAGGGGTGACGCGCTCACAACCCGCCGTGGGGAAGAGAAATTGGATAATGGGCTCGTCAATCCAGCAGACAAAGGTCTAACGTGAGCTGAGGGCTGGGAGTTGAAGGGAGAGAAGTCCAGACTGGTCTAGCTGCACCCCTGATCCCTCCCCCCACTCTAGGAGCCAGAAGTGGGGTGCAGAGCCTGTACCCCGCTCCACACCAGCCAGTGAAGCCTCCCTGTGCGGAGGATCCTCCGGGGGCTGTTTACACAGAGCCCAGGCCCTGACGGTCCCCATTTACCACGCGTGGCTGGGGCCGAGAGTCGAAGGGGACCCACCGGCACCAGCAGCCGCGCTCGTTTCAAGTTTCCCGAGGAAAATCCATCCGTTCCGGTGGCGACAGAACTGGGGCTGCACGCTGCTGGGCGGGATTGCAAACAACCGACAAAATCCACAAACACCGTGCGCTGTTTGTAGGTGTGCGGGGAAAAAAACCCAACTTTGGCTGCTGGCCTTTTAAGATACCAGTTAATTGGCATGAATTCTCAGCTCGGGGTGGGACAGCCCCAGGTAGTGACAAAAAGGCTCTTTAAAAAGGAATCTGCATTTAACAGGCTAATTGGCCCATAATTATTGCCAGTCACTTGAACGAATCGGAAGGAACAGGCCCCGCTTTGCGGAGAGTGTGTATAAAACACGACTGACTTAGGAAAAACCTTGGTTTATTTCCTTTTTTTTTTTTTGTCCCTCCCTTGCCTCTGCTTCGCACGGATGGAGCTGTGCGCACGCCGCACAACCAGCTGGTGGGTGACACAATGTCGCACAACAATGCCACACTGTGTGCCACGGTCCACCGCCACCGGCCATCTGCAGCCGTGTGCCACGGTGCACCACCACCGGCCGTCTGCAGCTGTGCACCACGATGCACCGCAACCCACCATCCGCAGCCGTGTGCCACAGTACAACACAACCCGCCCTCTGCAGGTGTGCACCACGGTGCACTGCCACCCGCCATCCGCAGCCGTCTGCCACGGTGCAACACAACCTGCCATCCACAGCCGTGCGCCACGGTGCACCGCCACCGGCCGTCTGCAGCCATGCGCCACAGTGCACCGCCACCGGCCGTCTGCAGCCATGCGCCACGGTGCACCGCCACCGGCCATCTGCAGCCATGCGCCACGGTGCACCGCCACCGGCCGTCTGCAGCCATGCGCCACAGTGCACCGCAACCCGCCATCCGCAGCCGTGTGCCACAGTGCACCGCAACCCGCCATCTGCAGGCGTGCGCCACGGTGCACCGCCACCGGCCGCACGGTGCAACGCAACCCGCCGTCTGCAGGCGTGCGCCACGGTGCAACACAACCTGCCATCTGCAACTGTGCCACGGTGCACCGCAACCGGCCATCTGCAACCGTGCCTTGTAAAACCATACAAATGCAACACTCCGTGGTGCGCTGCGACACAAGGCAGCCCCAAAACGGGAGGCAACACAATGTAACGCAACACACAATGTAACGTCATGCGGCAGCATAGAACAGAACGCAATGCAGCGTGACACCGACTCCCAAGCAATATCATGCAAAGCAACATGGTATAATGTAGCGCAACATAATGCAACACAACACAATGACATCGAAGTATGCAATGTCATGTAACTCAGTGTAACACAACACGCTGGTCAGTGCAATACAGCATAACGACACAAAGCAGCCATCATGTTATAACACAACACCCTACAGTGCAGGTCAATGAAACACAACAGCCTGCACCACAGAACAATGCAATGTGCGAGCACACAACCTGCCGCTTAGCCAGGGCAACACAAATCTATACAATATGGCGGCGTCGTAACACAATGCAATGCCACTCCACAGCTCAGCGGACAATTCAACACAAGGTGATTCCCCAAACCACCCGGTTCTGTGCAACGCAGGCCGCCGGGCCCCTGCAGCAGAATACCTGGCCGTGC